GAATGTAAGTGCATTTATGGAAATCCAAACGATCACGCTACTAATGAATTTTTTTCTTATCATTATCTTGTCTTTATCGCAAATTGTTTAATGAATTGTTGTAGAAAGAACCTGGTCTTCGTATTACATTGCGTTTATTACATAATTCCTCAATAATTTATCAATATAATTCTAATGAGTTTCTTTATTTTAATTTATTTAGAAACGAATAAAAACTTCCACGATTTATCGAAATCGATTCATTCTAAGCGCTGAGTCATTGTTATTTTTTCCTCACGTCTCAATTTTTTGTTGTAAATACGTAGATAATTAATTCTCAATGCCGAAATTTAATCAAGTCGAATCAATTTCGCGTGTTACGTCACCGTAATTAAAGAAGGTAGCCGCCGAATGGTTGAACAGACACCAAAAAGCTTTGATTAACGACGCGGTTGTATTTTATGATAAAAAATTTGCGCGGCGGTAACGAGTTCCTTTAGAAACTTCCAATACGACTTCCGGGATCGGAATATTATCAAGTAACTAAATTAATTGTAATACCGTCGCTTTTACTTGTATTATTGGTAAGAGTCGGCGATGAGGATAATCGAGAGGTGGTGAGGAGGAGCAGCGGGTTAACGATGTTAGAGGTAATCGACGTACACGCCTCGTAAAATCGTCGGAGACGATCGACAAGCCGCTTCTCGCTCGTCCCGCTCGTTTCTCTTTGTCGTGTAGGGAACCTTTACGTATCCCGTAAATTGCGAGCGGCTCTTTCGTTACGAGCATCTCGTGTTCAAGCTGACCGACACCATGGTAAATTTTGGAAAGTTGCCAGAAAGTAGTCGAGAACGCAAGTTCAGATTTTCCAAAAGTATACTTTGGACGTTTATCCGTTTCGACTCTGATCGATAGCAATTTCGGTTCTGAGTGACATTAGAAGATTATCCAGGATGTCTACTACCTGGAAAGACCCCTGGAAAACTTGTAATTTTCAGAGAGAGAAGGAATTTGTTCATGCCGTGAAAAATCAGGAAATTTTCAGAGAATTTTATTAAAAATTAGAGATTTTTTTGAAGTTTTATTTTTTTTAATGCTTTGTCTTTATTATATAATTTACCGATTGAATTTTTAACAGTAACAATGGATCATTTACTCTAAACATCAGAACATTGATTTTATGATTAATCCATCCAATATTCAGTATTAAAGATAACGATTTTGTGTTAGATGCAAGTTTGTTTAACGACTGATATTTATTTTAATAATTTTATAAAAGTTGAATTTTGTACCGGTTATGTATTATATAATTTTTTGTTTGTAATTTTTGAAAATTTTATACAATATAAAATATTTATCTTTTAGACTTCTTTATGTTTTTTCAAAATTTTAACAATTTGAAACTCGAATGATTCTTAATTTTATTTCATGTTTTGTAAACTTTTATATATAGAAAAAATATTAAAGACTTTGTATAATAAATATATATTTATTTCTCAGATACATTTAAAAATACTTTTTTATTTTACTTGAAATTTTTAACAAATTACCTTGGAAATTGGGAAATTCTCCGGAATTTTTTTTTTCGGATTTGAACAAACACTTCTGCTAGCAAAAGTTACGGTTTAAACGAAGCTCTGTTCGCAATTATAAAATTCGTCGTTGAAACAAAATTTTGCACTTGTCGATTTACCGCCTACGCGGAATTTCTTGCTTCATAATCCGCTGTTCAAACAAAATTTTTACACGCGCACATTCCTAACTACTGCTGCGGGCCACTTAAGTTGTTTCTCTCGCCGTATAATTATCGTGCCTCGCGAGATAAGGCTCTTTACGACTCATGCATTTTACGAAGTCCGCGTCGTCGTCGCGCCGCTAATAAAGGCACGATTGGTCGTATCGTAAGTATGCAGAATATTAGGACACCGTCGTAACGTTGCTCGGAGTTGTTCGCTTTATCGCCAGTACAATAGAGTTTTTACTTTCGTGTCGGAGGGGCAGCAAATGACCGCTCGCCAATGTATAAAATCAACGACTCAGCGGCGCGCACATAGAAACGATCGTTGCACATATCCCATAACAATCATTTATTATGCAATTCATACTTCATTCTACTTTAACCGTTGTAATTGCAATTGCAGTAATATAAAGAGACAAATTATCATTTACATATCGTTAATTTTTCTTATATTATTTAATTACGCGTCATACTTTCGACAATCGTTAAATGTATTTAATTTTTTTATTTAGGCCACACCTGCGCTTAAGTCGACCAAATTTTCTAGGACATGTGTAGAATAGAATTTGTATTGATCTTTCGTCGTGGGACGATCATCTCGCACTCGGCTATTTGGTTCATAACGAAATTGCGGGACTCATAAACGGCGCGCGCGGTGTCATTCGCGGTACTCAATAATTAAAGCGCGGCACTAGCGTGTCCGGTGTGGAGAATCCTTTAATCCGCGCGGCATTGTGCGCCGTCGCTCGGCCATGTCGCGATAACGATCGAGAAGGTAAAGAAATCACGGACGATCGCGCGCGGTGGTTAAGGATCGGCCGAGGGCCGATTACGCGAGAGATTCGTGATAACTTTCTCCGTGACTCGTCCGTCCATCGTGATCCGCGCCGGCTCCTTTTTCTCCGGGACGCAGACAAACACATACATACACATACACACAAGCGGCGACGGCGAGCTTTTCGAGAGCGTGGAAACGCGATAACGCTATATAAACTTCCAAACGGTATATTCCCCACCGAGGAATATTCACGCGTTAATCTCACAATATACGTGAGATTTGAGTGAGATTACAATCAAGTTGCATTCGGTTTATCGCGTTGAAATCTAAACTCGCCGAATTATCGCGGCTTAGATCCCCCGATCGTTGTCGTCTCACGCTGCATCTCCATTGCCTCGCAAGACAATAGAACGCGGCAAAACTTTTCTCAGCGTTTGCGTAAATGCAGAAGAGGGGAAAGGGTGGGTTTAATTTCGCATGACGGCGACAGCGGCGGCGGCGGCGGCGGCGGCGGCGGCGGCGGCGATGGTGGCGGCGACGGTGGTGGTGGCGACGGCGTTTGCTGACGGGACGCGACGCGTCGCGACGTCATACGCCGAGCGTATCAAGCCGAAAAGTTTTTATCGTCCCGCCGAACGCATTTGCTGCAAATTGATGGAAATGATGGCTCAAATTCGGAGCCTGGACGAGTTTTTCACACGCTTGCGCACGCATTATACACACGCGCGTACATAAATATATTTATCTACGTGGACGTGCCGCGGCTATACGTGTATTGCTCGCGAAATACATTATCCGCGGAGAATGGACTGTTAACGCGGTTATATGACTCCATTTTGCGCGTTACACGAAACATCATCCCGCGTTACAAAGAGCCCGTAATGACGCGTCATGTATATGCGATCGTGCGGCGCGGTAAAAGCGTGAAAATAATAGGCAACGTTGTCCACCCCGGCCCACGCGTACGTCGGTTTTCGGCCGTTCGACGTCGCACCCTTTCTTTGGCGAGGCGTACAAATCGCAAAAATGTTTTCCGTAATTCGCGCGCGCCCTGCGGCGTGCGATGCGGCTAAAATAAACAGCGCTGAAATCGCGCACGGCAATCTGCGCGGGAGGGTGCACCGCGCGAATTATCTGTCCGCCCGCCCTCGACGGTTGTTGAATGGCCAATTCTCTACTTGGAAATTAAGCTATGGCCTAAACTAACCCAACGTAGCGTTCGCTGGGGCACGACGGCCGCCGACCGGGCATCCATCCGAGCGAATGTTTGCACGCTCGCTTTAGCCGCTTCCTATCGTACCCTCGCCGTCGTCGGCGTTGCCCGTTCCGCGCGATGTGCAACGAAACGTCGTCTGAATACATACATCGATTGATTTATATTGACTTATTTAAATGTATCTCCGCGCGGTAAACGCAAACGGACCCCCGGGAGCGCGGAATGAGTAATCATCATCTGTCAATTCATTTGAAAAAAATTGATCGAGCCACCAGTCGACGTAACGTCGAAGTAATCATCTATTACCCGTTCGCGTTAGGCAAATTTAGAAATTTATCTCTTGATGTGTGGATCTCCGTGCGCATCTGTGCGTTTTACGTAAAACCCCTGAATTTTTCGAGACGTATTAATCCTTTGACGAAGGATCTTCACCTTCAACGCGACAAACTTTCGCGACAGTTTCTGTCTTGGAGATTTCTATCCTCGTTCTCTCTCTAATTTGTCATTTACCGACTGGTAGAGAAACGCGCGGTGCGACCGCCACGTTCTCGCACATTTTTCACGAACGGTTCCGTGAACGGAATTTACCCGCGTCGCGCGTTTGACACATCGCGATGTTTGCGATAATGGTCGCGCGTAATGCGCCGCGCGGCCGCCGCGCTGTGGTCCATTGAAAATTGCATCGTAATCAATGCGTCGTAGATCCTGGAACGTGACGTTGCGCTCAGCCGGCAGCTTTGCACCCGATATACTATACATGTATACGCGCGGGCGCGCTTTCTTTTCGCCGCTTCTATCCTTCTCGCCGCACGCCTTCCACGCCGCGCCGCGCCGCATCTCTCTCCGTTGTTTTTTTCTCGCTCTTTGTCCCCAGTTCGAAACACGCCTCGGAGATTAGAATAAATGCTCCTGGAGCAGCGACGGGGCGCACAGTTTACGCGCCTAGTAAATCGAACGATAAATTGATCGCTCGTAAAGCTCCGCTCACACGCGCGCCACGTCGTCGAAATGAAAACGCATGGTTCCTGCGAGGTATCGGAGCGGTTAATAGAGAATACTTTTAATTATTCGAGAGAGAGAGAGAGAGAGAGAGAGAGAGAGAGAGAGGAGGAGGGAGGGATGGGGGGAGAGGAAGAGAAAAAGAAAAAATTAAATGGCGCCGACGAACAAATATTTTTCTACGCGAACAAATATGTCTCGTATTGAAAATGCGATGAAGACTGTGTAAAATTATATAAGCAACGTCATGTAGAAGCAAAGAGACAAATCAATTTTTCTTCAACAGGAAATGGGAGGCACTCCACGACGTGTGAAGCTCTAACAACGCGTTACGAAGATAAAAGGGAGAAAAGTGTCGTGTACGTCAAACTTAAATGAGAATTGCGAAGTTGTTTCCGTTGCCGTTTCCGCACCTGTTAATAAAATAAATGAAAGAAGTGTGAACCCGGTTCTCGCGCGCGTGACAAAGTAACCGCGATGAATCGGGTTGTGCTGTGAACAGTGCATGGAAAGAGGATCGATCCTAGGGACTGCGACTGTGTGACGTCGAATGGAGTCTCTTCCGAATCACGAGGATGCGTTGTTCCAGTTCCAGAAATGGTGAAATGATCGTGTACATAGTGTATCGTGGACGCTGCAGCGATTTCTAAGAAGCAATTGCCCAAGACTAAGATGTACCCCGCGCCGGCGAGACATCCCGCCGCTCCCGTAAGTATCTTCACATTTTTTTTTTTCTTTTAAGAAGAAATTAAGAGTGACATTCGCGGAGTAGAAATTCGCGAGAATCCCGAAGTTAAATAATATATCGGTGAAAAAAAATGTGCCCGCAAAATTTTACTGTCACTTAATTTAAAGCGAACTTCAACTCGATGAAATTTTAATTTAATGCGCGATTAAGTCGGCGAATCGACGGATAATTTCACCATTTCGCATTTCCGATGGTTTTCCGGCACACTGTCATATTTCTTCACTCGCGCTGGTATTCCCAACATTTTTACTTGGCGTTACCCATTATAACGAGCGTCAAAGGGTAATATAGTGTAATTACCGCTCCGCGCGAGGGAAGCGAAAGAGCACGTGGGAGTCAAGTCGACCGCTCTCGCACTTCGCGTTGCTAATTCGAAGAATGTTTGATTGTTCCCCGCGTACGTCCCTACCGCCGCCACCTCCGCTCGTGCCACTCTTTTTACCGCCATTATTTCACGCGTCGCACAAACTCAAAGTCC